AGATATATAGTACATTGATATCTGCATTTCCTTTTGTCCTTTACGGTCACACTCTGCCATCTGTTCCATTATATTTAATGGCAAATTCCAAGGAAACCCAAGCTGCCCAGTCTCCTTTTATTCATTCTCACATTTCATACTGATGGACATCTCTGTCTACCACTGAAACCAACCAACCCTCTTTTCTACCCAGCTTTTTGGTCCTCAGAGTCTACTACTTTCTCATAAACAACTCTCTCCAATTTTAAAGATAAAAAAGCTGAACAGGAAATGTAACCTATGGATTGTCCAAGTGTCTTTTGACTATTTCACTATGTAGAGAATAAAACTATCCATTCAAGGCCATCAGGATTATAAACATAATATTTACTTTTATAATGAAAAATTATAAAAGTAACATAAACTAACTGAAGAAACTTGGGAGGACATTTGAAATGAACAAACAAAAAACATCAGCTATCATCTTACCAAATAAACACAGTAAATATTAATATAGAATATTTTCAATTTTCAATGGTGATTTATTCTGTGTTTATAATGCTTTGAATCTGGTTTTTACTTAACATTATCATTTAGAATGTTTCCATTAATATTGTCACAAAATATTTTTGGTATATTCATAAATTTATTTATGGATAATTTATTCATAAATCATATATTCACAAATACAACTTCAAATAGTATTAAATAGAATATTTAATCCTGTGAATGCACCATAGTTTACTGAAGCATTAACCTATTATTGCCTATTTTTCATTATTACATATAATTCTGCTATAAACTCTTTCTACAGAAAACGCTATTATGTTTTAGAATTTATTTTTAGACTAGATTCCCAAGATAGTATAGGAATATGGACTCTGGGGCCAGACCAACTGTGTCACTTGGCAAAAGTCATCTAACCTCTTTATGCTTCCGTTTCCTCATCTGTAAAATGGAGATAATAGTAATAATACCTACCTCATAAGGTTGTTATGAGGACCAAATGAGTTAGTTTATACCGAGCATTTAAAATAGTACCTAAGGCATATGTTAAACACTACATAAATGTTAGTACAGTATTAATGTTTTTGAGCCTTGAAATTGACTAAAACTTAAAAAGGTTTTATGAACGTACATGCCTAGCAATACGGTGTGTCCATTCTAATTTCATCAGATTCTCACCAGCATTTGGATATTTTTAGTGTGTGTTAGTGTGTGTATGTGTATTTGTGTTTATGAATCGATAGGTGAAAATTTGTATTTCATTAGTTTTACAGGAAATCCTTGTTTTCTGAGGATAACTGCCACTGGAAAGTAATGGTAGTCTTCGTGGTTTAATTTAGAAATACAGAGCTTGTCTCTTTAAAAAATATATAAATTCAATGATATTTGCATTATATTTTTGATTTATCATTAAAAACCCTCATTTAAAAAATAGTAGTTAGAACTCATATACTTTTTTATTCCTCTCCATCTGTTATAGACTCAAAGTTTGTATCCCCCCCAAATTCATATGCTGAAACCTAATCCCCAGTGTGATGGTATCTGCAAGTGGAGCCTTTGAGAGGTAACTGGGTCATGAGTTTGAAGCCTTCTTGAATGGGATTAGAGTCGTTATAAAAGAAACCCCACAGAGCTCCCCTTGCCTCTTCCACCATGTGAAGACCCTCTATGAATCAGGGAACAGGCCCTCACTAGACACCAAATCTACTGGTGCCCTGATCTTGGACAGCCTAGACTCCAGAAGAGTGAAAAATGTTTGTTGTTTAAGCCACCCAGTCTACTGTATTTTTGTTAAAGCAGCGGGAACGAACTAAGACACCATCTCATCTGGTTTCATTGTTCACCTTCAGGCCTTTGCTACCACAACCTTCCTATCCTGGAATTCAACTTTTGTTTCATTTATTTAGTAAACATATTCAAGTATACTTTTCAAAATGGTCCTTTACTGATCTTGCTGATCTAAAAATATCTTTTTATTGCTTTCACTTATGAATGATAATTTAGTTAGATATAAACAGTTTTGCTTCAAAGGCTTATGGATTTTGTTCCATTGTCTTCTGGCAGTTAGGGTTTCAGAGTAAATATGTGAATACACTCTAAAATTTGTTTCTTTGAAGTCAAAACCTCACATCTCTCTCTTGCCACTGGTTGAATGAATGTAAAGTTGCTTCTTGCCATAGAAATTGTAAAATGTTACAGAAAATATCTTGAAATTTTTCTTTTTTTAAATTGAAGTATAGTTGATTTACAATGATGTGTTAGTTTCAGGTGTACAACAGAGTGATTCAGCTATACACACATTTATATCTATTTTTTTTCAGATTCTTTTCCCTTATAGGTTATTACAAAATATTGAGTATAGTTCCCTGTGCTATACAGGAGGTCCTTGTTGGTTATCTATTTTATATACAGTAGTGTGTATATGTTAATCCCAAACTCCTAATTTATCCTTCCCCCCACCTTTCCCCTTTGGTAACCATAAGTTTGTTTTCTATGTCTGTGGTTCTATTTCTGTTTTGTATATAAGTTCATTTGTTGTTGAAGCTGTTATCTTTCCAACACATTTTCTGACTTTGTTGAGTAATCCAAATTTCCCTATTTCTATTTCTAAATTATTCTATTATATCTTTGTTTCCTATTACTTTTTTTCTTAGAAACTAACAATTAATTGAAGGTGGGTTATCCATAATCTATACTCTATAGCTATTATCTTCTCTCATTTTTTGTCTTTTCAGTAATTTACTAAATATCTGAGCATCATTAAAGTTTATCTTGTGTCTCACTGTTTCAATTTTCTTCAATATCCAGTCTGCTATTGCTGCTTTCAGCATGGTTTAATTTCTTTTTCCATGTTCTGAGTTTTAGAGACTGTTTTCTTAGTCCATATTATGCTCAGTTTATAGTGGCCTTACCTTCTTTATAGTATGGTATTCTATTTTAATAAAACAATGTTCTTTTAGTTCTTATTGAGAATATTAAATAGATGTTCTTAATAAACTTACTTCATGGGGAAAGATTTTCTTCTAATATATGAGAGGATACTTCCTCTTCTCTTTCCCATTCTTTTTCTTTACTCATCTTTAAATAGAGATCTATGTCAGGAAAAGACACACCTCTCAACTTTCCTGAGCTATCTCAGTTTGCCCAGGTATTGAAGAACACTCTGATGCTTGTACTGCCTCTGGAATTCCTAGGATAGAGCAGGTTTTCATAAGTGATAAATTCTCCTTCCTCTTGACAAATGCCTCCCTTACCTTCCAGACAAAATAAAGATATTGGGTCTGGTCTGAGGCGGTTTATGTTCTAGTGCATATCTCAAGCTACTGTAATCTCTACTAGGTTATATGAGCACACATACTCACCTTACATATTAAGAACAAAGTCTCTTACAAATATTGAATCATTATGTTTTATACCTGGAATTAACATAATTTTATCTTAGTAATTTTTTTTAATTGTTAAAATTTACCTTAAAAAAGAGCAAAAGCTCAAAAAATGTTAAATCACTTGACTAAGGTCACTGAGATAGAAAGTGATAGAACTAGGATTCAGACACAGATTTTTAGACTCCAAGTGATTTCTTCTATATTACAGGAAACCTAGAAAGAGACTTTTCTGAAAATTTTGTTTTAAAGAAAGTATTCCATTGTAAAGTTAACTATGCTTCAAAAATAAATAGATAAATAAATAAAGTATCCCAGCATTACATACCAAGTGGAATACTATACTATTTTATTATTTTTAAAAAATAATTCTTACTGTTAGAAAAGTAATACACAAGTATACAACCTTCTAGTGAAGGCTGGGCCATCCTTGCATAAAAAGGCCAGGAAGGGCAGTAGAATAATAACATGAAAATACAAGTGCTTTCTGAGCTGAATTGATTGGTTAATGCAATCCACTGTCTCAATCATTATCAGACAAGATCTTTAAATTCTCACTAGCTGAAATGCAAAATCACCGAAGTAAATATATTGCATTTATTTCTAAACTTCTTCAATGTTATTTATGCTGTCACTCATCTCTAATAGAGGTGAAGTTATTAGGGCAGATGAGCATTAACCAAGAAATGGATTAACAAAGAAAAGCAGCAGCAAGGGCTTCCCTGGTGGCGCAGTGGTTAAGAATCTGTCTGCCAATGCAGGGGACACGGGTTCAAGCCGTGGTCCGGGAAGATCCCACATGCTGCGGAGCAAGTAAGCCTGTGCGCCACTACTGAGCCTGTGCTCTAGGGCCCGTGAGCCACAACTACTGAGCCCACATGCCACAACTACTGAAGCCCACGCACCTAGAGCCCATACTCTGCAACAAGAGAAGCCACCGCAATCAGAAGCCCGTGCACCTCAACGAAGAGTAGCCCCTGCTCGTCACAACTAGAGAAAGCCAGTGCGTAGCAATGAAGACCCAATGCAGCCAAAGGTAAATAAATACAATAAATAAATTTATTAAAAAAAAAGAAAACCAGCAAACTTCATTAAGAAGAAAGAAGATGCCTTTCTACAAAGTATAATGTACTCATACTCAGTATTTCTAGTAATAAAATGAAACACATGCAAAGTCATGAATTGATTCAATAAATATGGCCAAGTTAAAATTTAGAAGGTTGGTGAACACAGAATCAGAGTAAAGGCAGTTTGATTATTTTATGAAGTACTTCATCCAAATGACAACAGAGGTAAATTATCTCTGTTATACAACCAAATACTTTGATCTCTTTTTGTCACAGGTCAAGAGTGAAAAATTCTTATTTCAAATTTCCTTTTCTCTAGATTCTTTATTGCATTTTAACCTTGCTACATACTACAATCTTAAAGTACTGTGTCATATTTTTCTATTAAGTTACAATAGAATGGTTATAACTAATATAACCTGTTATGTTTCGATCTTTTTGTACTTTTCCTATAAAATATATAGGGCTCACTTTTTTATAGGCTGTAGCTTTTTACTTAATAGTTAGTTAAACAAAGGAATACATATTTTGTAATGAAGGTGAAAATAAATCCAAGTATACTTACCACATGAAGAATTTTATTCTCTGTTTCATATACAGTACAATCCTAAAAATAAGAAACATATACATTAATTTTAAAAAATCAAGCATTCCTTTTAACTAATATATTCACATTGGTTAGCTCTGATGGTCAGTTACAGGGATACTTTAATTTTTGCTTAACTGTGTTTTCTAATTTTACTAATTTTAAACACACATAATAAAGGATAATATACATTGAATAGATATAAAAACAAATATTGGAAAAATTACTATAATCATTTCCTGTCTAAACTTTTACATGTGATAAATGTATTTTGTTGAAATATTTCCAACATTTCAAATACTGATTTATTATAGATTGGAACATTAAGAAAAACACTAGTACTTATTTCAATAGTCATATCAAAAATCTCAAAAATACTTTATTGTAAGATATTAAATACACTTTTATTATGCACTTAAAATTGATATATGCTACTAATGAATATCAAGTTTACAGTTCTTGCCTAAATTTGAGTTCCTGAAATTACAAAAAAATTATTTTTAAAAATTCACCCTTGTCTTTTTATCTGCAATTGCTAGACTTACAATAAGCAGTAATATAGCAAAATGATCTTTGCTTAGAAACTTCGTGTTTCTATGGTTCAGTTTACTCAAGGAATTTATAAAATGGGCATGATATTATACGTAAACCAATAAGGATGTGTGAGAATCAAATGAGGAAATGAAATAAATGGCTTAGCACTATCTGGCATACAGTAAATGATAAATACATTTTAAGTATGAATTATTGTTGCTCTGTATCATTTAAAAATTTTAAACTAATTACTTTTATGTTAAAATATAAAGTTAACTAATTATTATTTGGCTATCTAACTTTGAAAAAGATATCCATATTCCACAACACTGCATATTTCGAGGAATGAGAATCCACGTCATTTTTTCCCCTGAATTTAATTTTGACACAAAGGAATCTTACTCAACATAGCTTTTGGTAATGCCACTTCACCACAATACCTTGTCAGAAGAAGTACATATTCTTATCGGGCCAAAATTTTTAAAGTTAAATTTGGCCTAATTCATTTCACAAACTAATAGAAATACTTAAGGATTGGGCCTTGCCATTCTGTACCAAAGGAGAAGTTCGCTACAAACACCATCATATCTGTGTCTATATACTCATATAAAGTCAACTCTTAATAATTAACTATGAATTATGTGTACAGAGGAGCCAAGGTGTAGATAAAACATTTATATTTGGAAAGTGCATTTGTACTTACATCTGAATTTGGAAGAGTCCAATTTTACAGAATTAACTTCAAACACAATTACACTGGGAAGAGACGATTTGGGAAAAGCTGGGAAGTTGCCCAGTTTCCCCATGCTGCCTCTACAGCTAGCTTCAGCTGTAATGGATGCAAGTTTCATTAATTACCTACCTTCCTAGAATCAGAGGATATGATTAAATGTTCAAACTTCAAAGGGATTCTTCTCAAGGAAAAAAGTAAATATGATCTAAATGAATATTCTGCTAGTGATAGAATAATCACACAGAGTAACTATTTCAAGTCTCTTTAAAATATACTCTACTTGTACATCCGTAGTATGATATAAGAAAAAGAACTGTTAACCAAAATCTTATACTATTTTCAGTAACCATATTGTTGGTAGTAGTGTTGTTATTCTGTTACTGTTTTGTTGAAACTGTTGTGTGTGTTTTATAGGATGAAGCAATTGAACAGTTATATGACAGTATCATTCTATCACTCTTGGTGACATTGGTAAGTAATTTTAGCATGGGAGAAAGCAGATACATATATAAGAAGTTAATTAAAAACCTCAGAGTCTCTTGATGTATTATGTATGTATGTATGTTTGTATGCTTCTCTTAGCTCTGCCCACTGAAAAAGCATAGAAACAATGACCAATTTAGTAATAAATGAACTCCCCACAATTGGTGGTCTTCAAATACCATTTCCCAAGCCTTCCTGGAAAATGGCTAATACCAGATCTGGGATAGGAACTGTACAAGAGGAGCATGGATTATATTGTGACACAAGATAGAAAGAAGCTATTAAAGACTACGAGTATTGTGCCAAGTAGGACTCAGAAGCCAACATGAAGAGATTCTCACTGGCCAGAGATGGAGCAATTTGAGCATCTAAAAGGATAACTGTAATGGATGGAAACAGTAAATATTACTAAATATTAAGTATATTAATATGTTTGAAGCTAAATTTTAAATATACTAAATGTATCTAAATATATTTAGTAACAGTTTAATAATATTGAATATATTAAACCAATTGGATAATGTATAATAGATGTACTTTTCCTCTTGATTCAGCAAATATTAATCATCTGTGTTAATGTAAGGATGAATAAAACATGGCTTAGAGAAGTGCAGTTTAAGGAGACAGGCATTCACACAAATAAGTTAAAATATGTAGAATTCTACAGTCTTCATGCAGTTTTAAGTTTCAATAACTTTAGAAGTATAAATGCCATGAAGTTACACAAATCAACATATGAAAGGTCAATTATTTAAAATTTAAAAATATTAATATATTTCTTATTAAAATTCAACAAAACCACTGTATTGGGCTATACCTTGTGCAAGTCAAATTTCAAACTTTGTAAAAACTTTCATCAGCTGCTCCTCCTCAGTGACTAAAAGGATTACATTTGTGATCCTGGCCTTAGTATTATTCAAAGAATGAAGTACTGATGCATACTTGAGATGACCCCACAAGATAAAGTCTAAGGGAGCTACATCCGGTGACTAAGGTGGCCGAGTATTTCCATGGGTCTAAAAAACTGTCACACACAAATATTAAAATTAAAAACTTACCATTTGATATAAAACTAAATGATTGTAAAAGAAATTGAAATAATTAAAATTCAAATGATGTTTGTACCATATTTATATATGTGAAGTTATTAAAGCTTAAATATGCACTAAGACTTTTGGGACACCAATAATTACTATAATAAAGGCAGGATCATGGGGCTGGGGAAGCAGAGGAGGAAACAACTTTAACTTTGCCTTAAAAAAATCAGGAAGGTGGCTTTTAATTGGGTCTTAGAAAAAGTAGGTCCTTTAGGCAAAGAAAATAAAGGCATTACTGCAAAAGCAATGAAAGTACACCCAAACACAGTTAAGCTACTGCAGTGATTTTTCAGATTTTACTTCTGTATACATGTGAGAATCACTTGGGGAGTGGGTTAAAATGCTGATCCCCAGAGGTCCATCCCCAGAAATAGAGATTCAGTAGATCCAGAGTACGGGTCCTCAAGATGATTTTGATAAAGATAATATTTTGAGAAACAAGTATTCTATTTCATAGGATATCATGTGATAGAAGAATACCAAACCAAATCAAACCAAAAATGATCAAATATATAGAATCCATAAAACAGTAAACTGCTTTAAAAACAGTATCTGCTAGCTCACTCTAAACAGTTCTCAGCTCCTCAGAGCTTTGTGTTTTGGTTACACGTTCCCCCAATTTATTGATTGGTTTTTCTTTTTTCCTGCTAGTAAACTTATTTCTCTTTAAATAGCTTACTACTTTGAATACTGCTTCTACTTGTCTGTATCTCTACCTTATTTCAGCCAGAATGCCTCTTCATTATTGAAAACCAAAGGCTTTCACAAAGGTTGAGACACAGCATAAAAAAAACAAAACAATAAAGCAGAACAACACAAAAAGCACATATTAACCTGCTGCTTTATATTAGGGAGAAGAATAGAAACTAAATGACTATGTTCTATTTAGTTAAGCTATAATTTCTTGGAGTTCATTTTATCGTGCTAAATATTTATACAGCCCTAGGTACTTTGAGGGAGTCATCTTATCAGTAAGTTATTTTATTTCCATCAAATTGTGATTTTAAAGTATTTGCTTCTGAAGTGTGGGTTTTGTTACCACTTAGGGCCAAATCTTTTCCCAAAAGGTCATACCCCCAAGTTTTAAAAATAAAATCGCACTGCATATGGAGAAATCTCCATTTTATGAACTTATTCATACTATGGAAAGGTACACCTCTGACGTTCTAGTTATTTTTAGGTTAGGATTAAATTTAGATTTTTAAAATTGGATTTAGAGCTATGCCACTATATACTCGCAGGAATTTTCTTCAGTAGTTCATGCTGTCTTTTACTGTACATGCAAAATAACACTTGCATTTCTTCTTTATCCTTTTTACATATAATGCTTATACAAACCATGTGATGCACATTTAAATGCCCCAAATTCCTAATATGACAATATTCATAAAAAAGAGGAGTGTTTCTTCAGTTTTAATCCCTTCTTTTCTTAGCAAAATAAGATCACCCACACAGGATCATAATCAGTTACCCTTTCTGTGAAACAATGAGCCAGTTGCTATACTGAGCAGAATACATTAAAAAATTCCACCATATATTTTACCATAAATGTTGAATACTTTGTCACCTGGGGACTAGGATGCTCAGTACAAGTAATATTTCTCATCAACTGTGTATTATAGATAGTCACAAGAACAGTACATAAGTTATTAATACTGAATACATAAAGAGAGAGTGAAGAGAAATAGTGTATGTCTCTAATGTTATATACTATTCCATGGAACTTTATAACTATAAATGCTATAAATTTTCATCTGTATCTTTTTAGTACATATATTATAGTACATTTATACAAATAATATAAAAAATATTGCTTTGCTTACAAGTAATATTTAAATAATCCATCTATGCAATCCTTTGATAATGGTACTTGCATAATGAGTACTTCACATATTCTATTATTAAGGTATCAAAATTTCTTCATATGCTGCTTCAGTGATTAGTTCATGTAATGAGTTAGTGTTATACTCTTATTCATTCATTCATTCACTCAAGTCACAATACCATTCACCAAAAAGGTTTTTTTTTTTTTTTCTCGCATCTTCTAAATGCAATTCACTGTCAGGGACTATTGCGTGATCAAAGATAAATTAAACTTGGTCCTTGGCCATTATTTCATTATTTAGTAGAGAAGTAGGTGAAACTATTGAAATAATAATACAACTTACACAAGA